CTGTCCATCCTTAGTCTGGTTTGATGCGTGATCCACCCTTATCGTACGTCCTAAGAGCTGAAATGTGTAGGTGATGATAATTTAACGCATACATCATCAATGACACAAACAACCGTGAAGAAAAATTTTCCTATTACATTAATGTTATTTAAATTATCGACAGCCAAGATAGTACTCCTTTGATCTTCATATTTCAAGAACGCAAATCCTTTTGAGACACCGGTTTTTTTATCGCGAACTAGCTGAATATCGAAAACCTCTCCATATCTATCCGAAAAATTGTAACGTGGCTTAGAAATACTCGTACAAACTCGAGCAAACAACTTCACAACTTACTGAGAGAAGACTGAAATTATATCGCCCTCTGTTAAGTCGAAAGGGATATTTCCAATAAATATGTATGGTGAATCTTTATATTGTTCGTGCCAAGATCCCGAACTCGATATATTCCGATTTAATTCCTGGTTGTTAATGCGTTGAATTTCTTTGGTTACGCTTTATTATTCATTTTGGTCAGGTATGTGAGTAAGAAATCTTTAATGAACCGAAAAAAGAGAATCACTAAAAGCAAAAAATGGAAAAGAAAGTGTTAACATACTTCATTCTTGACTAAATTTAATGCGTGTCGAAATACATAATTAAAACGGGTTGATCATTTCGAAATACAATTGGATTCTTCCGAATCGTGACTTAAATAATATTTTTATTAAAATTGCTTAAATTTTATTTTTATTATTTTATCGGTGCTTAATTTTCAAAAATACACAAAATTATAAATTTGTCAAAAAAATATGCATAATCTGGACACTAATTAATATTACGTTATAACGTGGAATACATCAATTGGTTCTTTTTGTTTTCAAAAAACACCAATAAATTTCTAGGACGTATCATTTTTCTGATAGTTGAACTCTTCTCGGCCTCTTATCGCAATCTTCCTCCCAACACTTTTTCTTTCCTCTAAATTTTTATCATCTTTTTAAATTCGCTACACCGAAAATGGCAAGTTTTTATTCATTAACTTGAAGATCGAAAATTGTTTTCTGGATTTAATAATCATTTTTTAAACTTGCAGGAAGTTGCACCAAACGCAAGAGGTACACTCAGGTAAAGCCTCCAAAGGTCAATTAAGAAATTAACCCTCTTTTTTCAAAACTTATGCCAACGTTTATTTCTTATCAACTTCGGTAATCAGGAAACGCACGTCCACCAACAAAAATATTTCGCGATCTGGTGGAAGCTCTTCTACAATGATGAAATTGTATACTGACGATGCACCAGGATTAAAAGTGTATGTT